GTGGAATGCATGCTATTCATTCATTTATTGGAGGTGGTCAATAAAATATATGTTGTATTATATTTGCTATGAAGAAGAACAAAGCAAAGAAGGGAGATGGAAAACTTTGGGTGTGAGGATTATCATGTTAAACTTGTGGTCGAGGGAAATTTCACTGACAAGATGAGTAAAGGCTTGAAAATAGCAAGGGGGCGAGGCATGTAGGTATCTGAGGAAGATCACTCCAGGCAGAGGGAAGGGCAAATGCCAAGGTCCCGAGCAGGACCGCTGCTGGTGTGTGGGAGGAACAGGCAAGAGGCCGGTGTGTCTAGAGTGGAGGAAGGGAAAGGAGAATGTGAGGAGATAAGGACAGCAGAGTGAGGCGGATGAGATTAAGTGGGACACTGTGGGTCACTGGGAACTTGAGCTTCTCCTCTGAGTGAGAAGAGCAGAGCAGTGAGAGCTGACTTACCAGCAGCTGGAGCAGGGTCCCTCTGATTGCTGCGTTAGGAACTGCCGGGAGGGGCAAAGGCAGGGCCGGGCTGGGAGACCAGTGTGGCGGCTGTTAGGAAAATCCGGGTGAGTCAGAACCGTGGCTCTGACCACCAGTGCAAGAGAGGATGCTGAGCCGTGGCTGGATTCTAGGTGTAAGATGTCCCGATGGATAGTTGCAGAACACCACACTGGGTGGTTTTGTTTTTTCAAAAAGCATATTCATATATTACTTATTTATTTAAATTAAAAAATCAACTGTATGGAGGTATAATTCCATGCAACAAAATCCGTTTTAAGTGGACAGTCTCGGCAGATGCATATGTCCACATACACAGACACCAGCTCCATTGAGACTGGACGTTGTGCAGTCGGCCCCCGGCAACCGCAGACAAGTTGCCGCTTCAGTGAGCTTTTTCCAGACTTTGATGTAATTAAGAGTCACACAGTCTGTGCTCTTCTGTCTCTGGCTTCACTGACTGGGCACGATCTTGAGGCCCATTCCTGAGGGGTGTCACAGTAGTCCTCCTTGTAATTTTGACAGGTAGCCCCTCAGGTGGCTGCAGTGCAGTTCATTCATATGCCAGGATGTTGGGTCATTTCCCTTTTTGGCTGTGTCCTTTTCAATCATCAAGAAAACCCTGGAAGGAGAGTACTGTGTTCCAGATGAGGAAATTGAGAATTCAAAGAAAGATCTTGTCCAGGGTTCCACAGCTTGGAAGTCACGCTCCACTCTGTCCCTCACCTCCTGTCCAGTGGGGTTACATGTGAATGAGGGTGGAAAGGGGACAGTTCGTTCTCCATCTCCCATTTCCTCATGTGTGGTACCACAGTCTCATTCCCTGTTCACTGCACCTGCCACACAATCCCATGCTGGGATTTGCCATGTGCCCATGTGGAGAAAAATGTGGCTTTGGTAGTGGCCCACTACCAGGGGAAACATGAAAGACAACAGTGAATGAGGTCAGGACTTGAGAGAACCGTGCTAAGAGATGCCAAAGGGAAGTTACTGCGTTGGGAGTTCTGGGGCAGAACTTAATTGGACCTCAGCCTGAACTGGACCTCAGTTCAAATTCCCCTTCTGCTCCTCCCTTGGTCTAAGCCTTTGGACAGATGCTCTCTGTACATCCATCTACCCATGCAAGAGAGGTCCTATTTCCATCTTCCTCCCTGAGATCCTGGATCTCAGACCACTTCTCACTGGTCTGTGTACAGCAGACAGTCAATGACCATTGGTTTTCCATGGTTGCTCATTGTACGGAGGTGAGCATCGAGGTCTCTCTCACCCCTAGCTGCTCCTGCCTGCTGGACAGAGTGCTGGAAGCAAGAGGGACCCTCCTCACAATTAACCCAGGTTTCTGATGGGGACACCCAGGAATTAGCTAGTTTCAAAATTTCTCTTGATGCTTCTAATGTGCACCAGGATTAAGAACCACGGGCTTAAGCATGAGTCTTGGTAGAAGACAGTTTGGATCCTGCTTCCTTGGTCAAGGTGCTTAACTCTCAGACCATCTGCTTCCTCTCCTGGACTTGGGCACAGTCAGGGACTCATTTCACAGGACTGCTCACAGGTTTAAGTGAGCCCTCGGCACTGTACATGGTCCTTCACGGGGCTCTTAGGCAGAAAGGGCCAGGGCCGGGTAGCAGGGGCCCGGAGCTGGAGTAACCTGTGCTGAGAGGGACCAGGCAGGGTGAGACACCTGGATATGTATCGCCTCTAGAGCCACAGTGCCCTAGTGCCCAGTATCTCAGTGTTAGGTCACACCCTAGAGAGCATCCCACCCCATGTGTCATTGACAGCTTGAGCAAGAAGGCCTAGGAAAGGAAGGGAGTTGCGCAAGGTCACTCAGTGCGATAAGAGTTTCCAGAAAGGTCAGCCAGTCATTTGGGAGAGATTAACAGAGCACCTCCAGGTGCCAGGCACTGCTCTGGCTTCTGGGGATGCCTCAGAGAACAAAAGAGAATTGATCCCTGACCTCATGGAGTTTCCATTTGGGCCTGGAGAGAAGAGCAAGAGGGGATACAGCCTATAGGGAAAAAGTCAATCAGGGAGAAAGGTTGTGCGGAGTGCAGGAAAGACTGCAGTTTTAAATAGGGCAGTCAGGTAGGCCCCATCAGGTAACAACACGAAGGAAGGAAGGAAGGAAGAAAAAGAGACTCAGGTGGCTGGGAACAGCCCATGCAAAGGCCTAGGGGAGAGCAGCCTGTTGGGTTGAGCCTGGGCCCTTCCCTGGTTGGCTGGTTCTGCTGCCCAGCCGAACACTGGTTGGGAAGACAGCCATTTAGTTAGCGCTCCGTTACTACAGAATGAATACCAGCAACAGTGACTTACAGACAGGAAAGGCTAATTTGGGCCCATGGCCAATGGTCTATGATCAGTTGGCCCTGCTGCCTTTTAGGCCTGTGGTGAGGCAGCTCATCATGGAAGCAGTTTGTGGAGGAGCAAAGCTGGGGAGTGAGAGAGAGAGGAGGGCCCAGGATCCCAGTGTCCACTGAGGATCCCCAAAGACCTGAAGACCTCCTCCTCCACCTCTTAAATGTTTCATGCTGGGGACCAAGACTTCACAGATATTTGGGGGACCCTAAGATCCAAACTACAGCAAAGGCTACTTAGTTTTCCTTAGCCAGGGGAAAGGATCAGTGTGTGTTTAAAACAAAGACTGAAGATTGTATCTCTGTGTTGTTCTACCCGTCAGGGCAGAGAGCTGGCTTTCAGGGCTGTTGTAGGAGAGAATGACCAAGAGGGTGGAGCAGAGGGGCGCGCGCACGTGTGTGTGTGTGTGTGTGTGTGTGTGTGTGTGTGTGAGTGAGAGAGAGGTGAAAGGGTTGGCTGTGTGACATCTACCTCCAGGCTGACATCTGGAGCAGCAGAGATGGGGTTGGGTGCATATTTTAGGGCCACACAGGGAGGGCAGTGAAGAAACAAGATGATGGAGCTGTCCAGGGAGCATGGGGCATGGCTTGGGATGGAGCCCTGGGAGGAACCACATAGGAGGTTGGGGCTGCAGTGTGAAGTCCTTCTGCAGCTTGTTTGTACAACTTAGGTGATCTCACACGGGAACAACTTTGTAGAATCACAGTATCACATTCATATCTTATCTTTTAGTTTTTCAGAGATACTAACTTATTTAAACCTCAAAAAAACACTAAGAGGTAAGAGGTAATTGTCGTCCCTGACAGAGGAAGAAGTTGAGGCACAGGGAGAGTAAGTCAGTTGCCCAAGGTCACACAGCTAGTGAGGGGAGAAGCAGGATTTGGAGTCTGAGCTCCTTTCTGCATTGTCTCTCTACTCACACGAGACTTGAGTGGCTACTAACACAAACTGTCCTGTTCCTGGGAGCTCAGGTATCTGTGTCCATGCAGGACCTGTACACATCACCATCCTGCATGCGCATGGTCTTGTGTGGTCTCAGTTCACTGATGCCCACAACCTCACACACTCAGCTCAGAGCCTCCTATACTTTGTGCTCTGACACTCAGATGTGCCTGTGCACTCAGAACCTCATAAACATTTATAATGTCACCTTCATGGGACTGTGGGCACTCCCCTCCTGTGTACATGCTGCACACTCATGATCTCATTCAGTCAAAAGACACTGATGTGTATGCCCACCGGTCTCTTACACACATAGTCTTGCACAAACACTCTCACAATCCCATGCTTTTCCGCTCACACTATGCAAATTCAGTCTGACCTGTTCATGGCCTTGAACATTCACACCCTCTTGCACACTTGTTTGGCTGTGCATGTGTACTTCACCTCATGCAGTGAGATGGAGGGCCTTGCCTGTTCACATCGCATTGCACTCTGATCTTGCACTTTCATTCAATTCTACCTCTCTCTGTGCAATTGAGACCTCGAATGCTCTCCTAACTTTATGCTATGTCCTACTGTGCCTCGCTCACCTGGAGTCAGACACCCTCTGTGCACACACTGCCTTGCACACTCCCACATCTGCAAACAATCATGCTATTGCACAATCCTGTCTTGTCCACTCATGTTTGTGTAGTCATGCTCTTCGGTGTGATCCAAACGCTGTGCACACACATTTATATTCAACCACAGCCTCATCTGCTCAGATAACTTCATACTTTAACACTCCGACTCACACACTTTGCTCCATCTTGCATACTTGTGACCTCAGCATGTTCTCTGGGAATATTCACACCACTTGGCAAATTCCTTCTGGCTTGTCTGCTCTTGTGCTAGCACACTCCTTTAACCTCATTCATTCTCAGAGCCATCAATTATACAACTTCATACAGGGATGATGGGACTCACAGACTCCTTGCTTGTGCATCTGTGATCCTGCTATGTTCCCACCAGGAGAGAGTCACACCATTGCACAGACTCACCTGGCTTGTTCACTCTGCTTGTGTTCTCCCACACTGGCAACCTCAAGGACTCCTCAAAACGTGCACTCTGCCACTCAGATGGCCTGGCCAGCTCCAGCCCTCGCACACACGCTGGTCACTGCCCAAACGTGCCCCGTGGTGCCGCGCTCTGACATGCCCTTTCCTGCCCGCAGGGACGTACCAAGGCCAGTTCACCAACGGCATGCGCCACGGCTACGGGGTGCGCCAGAGCGTGCCCTACGGCATGGCCGTGGTGGTGCGCTCGCCGCTGCGCACGTCGCTCTCATCCCTGCGCAGCGAACACAGCAACGGCACCGTGGCCCCGGACTCGCCAGCGTCGCCGGCCCCCGACGGCCCCGCGCTGCCCTCGCCGGCCATCCCGCGCGGCGGCTTCGCGCTCAGCCTGCTGGCCAACGCCGAGACGGCGCGCGCAGCCAAGGGCGGCGGCCTCTTCCAGCGGGGCGCGCTCCTGGGCAAGCTGCGGCGCGCGGAGTCGCGCACGTCCCTGGGCAGCCAGCGCAGCCGCGTCAGCTTCCTCAAGAGCGACCTGAGCTCGGGCGCCAGCGACGCGGCCTCCACCGCCAGCCTGGGTGAGGGCGCCGAGGGCGCTGACGAGGCCGCACCCTTCGAGGCGGACATCGACGCCACCACCACCGAGACCTACATGGGCGAGTGGAAGAACGACAAGCGCTCGGGCTTCGGCGTGAGCGAGCGCTCCAGCGGCCTCCGCTACGAGGGCGAGTGGCTGGACAACCTGCGCCACGGCTACGGCTGCACCACGCTGCCTGACGGCCACCGCGAGGAGGGCAAGTACCGCCACAACGTGCTGGTCAAGGCCGCCAAGCGCCGCGTGCTGCCGCTCAGGAGCAGTAAGGTCCGTCAGAAGGTGGAGCACAGCGTGGAGGGCGCCCAGCGCGCTGCCGCCATAGCCCGGCAGAAGGCCGAGATCGCTGCCTCCAGGTAGGCCGCAGGGTGGGCATCGAGGGGATGGGCCGGTGCGGGCCGGTCCTGGATCAGGGCAGCCGGACAGGCCTTGCCTTTCTGCTCCCCTTTCCGTTGGGAGGGATCTCTCATGACCTTTAGGGGTTTCATTGGAGGGGCTTCGGCGGCTGGTGTCCCCAGTTGGTCCGTCTGTCCCTTCTCTCTGCCGTGCTGCCACTAACCCTTGTCCCTCCCACCCCTGCATCGGCCTCTTACATTCCCTCGACCTTTCCACTACCCACCGTGCCCACACACCCGCTCCGCCTTTTGTTCACCCAACTGGCCATCCAGTTGTCCGTCTGTCTGCCTAGCCGCACAGTCAAGCACCCGGTCATCTCTTCAGTCCCTCCATCCATGTAACTTCTCTAACATCCACCCGAACAACTTCATCTACCCAACCCTTCCAAACAACCAACCACCCCAGTAACTCAACCTCTCTAACATCCACCAAGCTGGCCACCCATTCCCACATTTACTCGTTCACACTTACCACTCGTCTACCTTTCCATCCTTTTACTCACCCAGCATCCAGTTATCCACCCGTCCACCCACCCAACCATCCGTCCATTTACTGAGACATCCATTCGACCACTTACTCATCACTCATTCACAATAAGCTGCATTCACTCAACCGATCCCATCTGCTCAGCTACTTATCCTAACATACAACCATGTCTGCGTTCACCCATCTACTTCCATTTATCCAAACACCTCATCACCCAGCCACACTTCCATCCACTGAACCATCGTCTGCATTCACCCACCCATCACCCAGCCACCTCTACTGCCCAACCATACTTCATCCAACAGTCTACCATGCTTCTATTCACTCAGCCATTTACCCTCCCAACCACCCAGCTATGCATATATAAAATCTCCTATCCACTAAGTATCCACCCTGTCATCTACATTCATACCCTTCCATGCCTTCTCATTCTACTTCATCTAAAGTGTTGTTGTTGTTGCCAAATGTTTATAGTACCTGCTGTGTGCATGGCAAATTTGGTTTACATTGACTCATGTATTCCTCTCAACAACCTTTCAGGATTGGTCCTATTTTATTGGCATGTTACAGGCCAGTTCAATGAAGCTCAGAAAGATAAGGTTATTTGCCCCAAGTCACCCAGTTAGTGAGTAGCCTTTCATAATCTGGTTTCCGTCCTCCCCTCGTGGCCTTTTCTACCATTCACATCCTGGGCTTGGATTTTTCCCCTCTTTCTGGTTGTCCCCTTGGCCTTTTATCACCATTCTGTAGTTCCTCCTGCCAGTGAGCTATTGCTCATGCTGATTTCTCTATCTGGGTTGCTCCTCCTTCCTTTTGCTGCCCACTTAAGAATTATTGTTATTCGAGTTTTGCAAACTTGGAGTAGCTGTGGGGAAAGTGGTGTGAGGTGGCAAAAGACAGTTACCTATCCCAGTGGCTATAGTGATCCTTTTGGAGGCTTTAAATAGCCTGGGCTAAAATTGGTGCAAGTGGCCTAGAGACAAATCCTGGCATTACTCTCTTTGATAGCTCAGTGCCTTGGGTAAATCAGCTTGGCTGTATGAGTTTCAGCTTCCCCAGTATGTGGTGTCATCATTGTTTAGTTGTGTATCCTTGGCCACTTGAGTTTTCTTCTCTAACCTCAGTGTTTCATCTATGCAACACTTGAGAAAGAAGTGCAGGTCCAGTGGTTCTGAGTCCTGTTGTGGATGCTTCCCCAGGAAGCAGACTCTGAGATGGAGATCAGCATGCAGGGCATCCATGGACGTGCTCTCAGGACCTACACTTGTGGGAAGGTCAGGAAGCAGGGCAAGGCAGGGAGATGCTGGGCAGAAGTGCAGTCTTTGCAGAGGGCTCAGCCAACCTCAAGGGGTGCTCTGTGGCGGAGATGACCTTTAAAGTGGTCTCAAGTACAGCATGAACTGGATCTTTATATCATCTATATTGGATGCGGGCAATCTTCCGGAAAAGAGCATGACCCGGGGTGGACAGCTCTCTACATTCCCTGCAGAGCGGTCCTGAGGGGGGAGCAGGACAACACATGCTGGACACCAAGCACGGGCTCAAGAAATACCACTAGTTATTGTCATCATTTAATGAATTTATTTGACAGCTGTAGAAACTGAGGCATAAAGAAAAAATGTAATATGCCCAAGACCACCACCTGCCAAGCAAGTGGGGAACCAAGCTTCAGCCCTTAGCTTTCTGATTCCAAAGCTTTAACCTATACATTTTGCTAAACTTTGTGAACTTAAAATTGCCATGAATGTTAATGTTATTAAGGCAGAAAGAAGCTATAGGTAATTTTCTTAAGACTTCTTGGCTTGAAGCTGCTATGGTTTGTCCACTCCAAACTCATGTTGGAATTTAATTCACATTGATTTTACCAACATTAAAAGGTGGGGCCTTTACAAAGTGATTAGGCCTTGAGAACTACATCGTTGTGGGTGGGATTAATGCCATTGTAAAATGGTAAGTTTAGATCCCTTTTGCCTATTTGACTTTCCACCTTCTGGAGGATCCAGACTTTCTCCCCTCCAGAGAATACAGCATTCACAATACCATCTTGGAAGAAAAAAATGGCCTCACCAAGCACTGACCTTCCTGGTGCCTTGAACTTAGCCTTTTCAACCCTCAGAACTACAAGCCGGTAACTTTCTGTTGGTTATAAGGGATGTGAGTGAAAAATATGGCAAATGTTTAAATTAAAAATAAATTATAACAGGAAGACACATTGCCATTAATCTTTTTCAAAATACTTTCTGTTACTTTGAACACACTTATTGTTCTTGCCACTTTCTGCAGCAGTTCTGGAAGTCTTTTATGGCTGCTTCAGTGTCCTGAGTCAATTTGAAGCATTTACCTTTCACGGTCATTTTGACTTTGAGGAAGAACCAGCAGTTACACAGGACCAGATCAGGTGCCTAAGGTGAATGAGGACCCACTGTAATGTTTTCATTTGACAGAAATTGCTGTAAACATTTTGAATTGATTTAGGACATTGACTTGTGTTCACAAAAAGACATTCATGAAAGAGGACTTCCAGAACTGCTTCAGAAGGTGGCAAGAACAATGGGATTACTGTATTCAAAGTAAAGGGGAATTCTTGGTGGGGGAGGTTAATGTCGGTGTATCTTTCAGTGTAATAAAATTTTTCAAAATTTAAGCATTCAGCTTATTTTTTTATCACACTTCATAAATTACCATTTTCAAGTATTCTGTTATAGCAGTACAAATGGACTAAGATGGAGAGCCAGGCTTATAATTAGGTGGTCATTTCTTAAAAATAAAACTTACGTTGGAGTAATTTTAGAGTCACAAAATGTTGCAGAGATAATACAAATAATTCCCATATACTTTCCATTCAATTTCCTCTAATGTTGACTTTGTACATTACCATATGACTTTCATCAGAGTCAACAGTGACACATTACTGCTCACTAAACTCTAGACTTTATATCAGTTCTACTAGTTTTCCACTGTTCCAGGAACGCATATTGCCTTGTCAGGTCTCCGTAGTCACCTCTGATCTCTGACAGTTTCTCAGCCTTTCCTCGCTTCTCTTGACCTGGACAGTTTTGAAGAACTACTGGTCCCTCTATTTGGATTTGCCTGACGTTTTTGTCCGAATGACTGAGGTTATAGGTTTTGGAGTAGACTACAGAAGTAAAGTGCCCTTCTCACCCTCACGTCACACTGGGGATTGTGAAACCCTCATGCCTTTTCACTACCCATGATCATGTGACTCAGGAGGCATCTGCCAGGACTCTCTCTTTATTTTTTCGGTGCTGGGGATCGAACTTGGGTCCTTGCACTTGCAGGGCAGGCGGCGGAACCACTGAGCTAAATCCCTGGCCCCTGCCAGGACTTTCTGATGTAAGCTTACTGTTTTTCCCTCTCCCTGCTCTGATCTTTGGAATCCAGGTATAAAAGTCAGCCCGTAATCAAGAAGAGAAAGTCTGGGACTCAGCGTCATCTTTTGGAGGGGGCATATCCACATATATCATTTGAAATTCTTCTGTATGTAACATTGGTCCCTTTTTCTAAAGAGAACATTTTTATTTGATGATTGACTGATTTATAAACCCAGGGCCTCACACATGCTAGGCAAGAACTCTACCACTGTACCACACCTCCCCAGCCCAAAAAGAGAACATTTTTAGTAACTACACTGATGTATGTATATGGTCACAACAGAGAGAAGCCAGTACTGTCCTGGGACTTGCAGAGAGGAATGGGTAAGAATTTAGGGTTTGGATTTGACGACCATGAAATGGAACCCTGGCTCTGTTACTAGAGTTGTAGGGCAAAAGCCTCTGCTCTGGGGATCCCACAGGCTGAGCCACCTGTCCCATAACATCAATCACGGAATCGAAACCAGGTGTGGTTGTACACACCTATAATTCTAGCACTCAGGAGGCTGAGGTGGGAAGAGTACCAAGAGTTTAAAGCCAGGCTGTGCTGCACAGTGAGTTCAGGACCAGCCTCAAGAAAAACCTTGTCTCAAACACAAAAAACAAAAAAATCAGCATGACCACACTGGGAAGCACTCATAAAGAGGTTTGAGATCTATCTTTGAGGGGCTGACAGGAGCTTTGGGTTTTATAGAAAAGAGGAACGAAATCAAGGGCATAGCTGGGGGGGCGGGCGTGTTGCATAGCATAGGTAGTCCTGGTCTGGTCACAATGTGGTTGATAGATAACATCTCAGCATTGCTTCTAGGAGTTCCTGTGTGAACCATCCTTGCTTCAGGAGACCTTGGGTTCCCATGATGAGATGCCGGCTACTGCTTAGAGAGCAGCCTCAGTTCCTGTCATGGGGTGATTGCTTCTGCTTGGAGGGGTGACCTTATCATGGGGTGGTCTGCAGGCTCTGCTTTTCTGGTATGAGGTGACTGCAGGTTTAGGACAGTGACTGGAGACGTCTGGACATTGCTCCAGAGGGTCTGGAACTGGGCTTTGTAAAAGCTGTCAATTGGGTGTCCCTGCAAACCCTG